AGATAGAGAGTGTAAGTTAGGGCTAACCGACGAAGGGAAAGAGGGATAGGGGAAATAGGGCTGACCGACTGGGGATTAATTTGGGAGTTTGGGTTATGGGTTATGAGCTTGTGGGTAGTGGGCTTAGCCTAGGTCGGGTTTTCGGGCGGGTCGGGTAGGCATTAGGAGAACCCTACCCGATATGAATCGGCCCATAGGAAACGGGCTGACGGGTCGGTTTTATGAGGCGGGTCGGGTCAACCGACCCATTTTTCCAAAATCAGTTATATTCGATCAGATTTTTCAGGTAGGGTTGGTTTTGCTCACCCCTATCTGGCACGTTGAATTTGAGATTTAATGACAATTAAAGCGCATAAAAAATTAAAAAGGTGGTGAGTGACACGATGATAGTTTCGTAATTAGCGAACTATCATTTAAGAGTCCTAATTATTTTCTAAAATAGAAATGATAACCTTTAACAATGGATGGGCAAAAGACCAGGTCCTTTTCCGAAATGACGTTGTGGTCCCGTTTTGGGACCGTCGTGTTGTAATTATGGCAAATTGTTTTTGTCACATACTAGTCTCAAACCGTTTCAAAGTAGAACGGAACCGGGACAAATAAAACGTGTTTCGTCCTGTTGTCTCGCTTCCAAATAATAACAGTAGTACTTTTATTTTGGCAGTCCAAATACCTATCGGTAACTACTAAATAATAGCCTAGCTAATTGGTGCTGCCAATGAGTGCTAACCTTTAAGAACTATAAGCCTAAATGACTGTAATTTATTACCCCCTCCGTCTCGTTGAAAGGTTCTCACTTTCATTATTTGTGTGTCTCAGTTAAATGTTCTCGTTCCATTTTAGGAAATAATTTACTCTTTTTAATTATACTTTTACTCAAATTTATCTTTTTCACTCATTACATATCAAGTCTCACAATTTCTCTCACTCAACTTATCTCCCTTTAATTACTTTCACAATTTCCTCTCCCCCAATTTATATCCCCTTTTTACTGTATTTACTTAAAATCTTTTACGATGCTTAAAAATTTACGGAGTATTATATTGGCAGGTTTTGGATGTTGTGCTAGGAAGTAGGAACCATTGTGTTTGTTGTCCTGCATATTTTATTAATTTATTTACAGTTTTCTACTTTTCTTGTTTCTTGTAATTTTGTGTCATGTTGTTATTTTTTGTTGTTTTTCACATTGCTTTGATGTTTGAGAAATGCTAGAGGTACCCCATTTTGTACCCCATTCTATGTTTGTGGCTCACAAAAATCCAACTCAATTAAAATAATTGCTCCATTTTAACGCATTGCTTTTGTGAAACCACAAACATAGGAGGGGGTACAAAATGGGGTAGCTTTAGCATTAGTGTTGATGTTTTTGGTTGTATTGCAGTTTTTCCGTTGCATACATTTTTCAGGATGTCCCGAACCATCCCGCTTTGTTCCGATCTCGATTTAAATGGGATAAAACAAGACAATGACTTGTCTCATCCCATTTTGAACCATTATTCTGGACTGACAGGTACCAGGATAACGCAAAGCTCATTCTATTTCAAATCGTGCCCCCTAACTTTAAATGTGACGTTCAAAAGAGATAAGTAATAAGTTTGAACTCGGAGTAAGGGGGATAACATTTTACGAGTTCACATATCGTATAATTGATTGTATGGTGAGAACCGTACAACCACTGACATTTTCGCAATTTAAGTGAAAATTGTGGCTTTCGCTAAGTGAACATCAGTACACTTTTAGTGAGCATCAGACATATTATGTTTAGTATTAGGAGTCTAATATTGAGCATCAGACATATTATGTTGAGTATTAGGAGTCTAATATTGAGCATCGTGATCTTTGGTTCATATCTTTTAATTCACTTTCTTTTTCTTATTTTTTCTTTTATAAAAATTTATTGAATTATATATATATATATATATATATATATAATCATATATATATATAGAGTGCTCTTCTCATCAGGCCGCCCTGACGGGATGCTCCGTCCGGCCGAGCCCATTTGGGCACCTTCCCGGTGGAAGTTTTTGATGAAAATTTTTGAGCATGTTCCCCCTCAAGTGTAGTTTGTCCATATCCAATTTCAGTTCAAAATTCGATCGGGAAGGCATTTAAATCATTTTTTGAAGTTGACTGCGTCAAAATATACATATAAAACTGCAGTCAACTTCAAAAAATGATTTGAATGCCTTCCCGATCGAATTTTGAGCTGAAATTTGGTATGGACAAACTAGGCTTGATGAGGAACATGCTCAAAAAATTTCATCAAAACATTCCATCGGGAAGGTGCCCAAACGGGCTCGGCCGGACGGAGCAGCCCGTCAGGCCGGCCTGACATGAACATTCCTCTCTCTCTCTCTCTCTCTCTCTCTCTCTCTCTATATATATATATATATATATATATATATATATATATATAATCAACTCCTATGAATTCCAATGTGCGAATAATCTATTGTAATATCATATTTTTGAAATATGCATTGATACGGCATTTTAAAATGAACATAATAATAGTATTAAATGATCATACATCATTTACAAAAATGAGCAGTGATATGAAAATAATAAATTTTGTTAAATTGAACATCAATACATTTTTTTGAGTATCAAACCTCCTCTATTGAGTATTAGAACCATGTGATTGAGTATCATGATCTATGCTCCCGTGTCTATAATCAACTCCTATCATAGGAGTCCTATGTGAGTCTAATGTAATTTGATACATAACTTATAAAAGTAGTATCGATAAATTTAAAAGTTCATTTGTGTATGTTCATTCCTTTTAAGCATTATGTTCATTTGAGTTTAACATAAAACTCATTTCTAATGCGTGCTCAAAATTTATTTGTGTACATTCATTCCTTTTAGATGTTATACTCATTTGAGTTTAACATAAAACTCATTTCTATATTATCTAGGTGTAATAAATTTATTACTAAAAATTGGTGATTCGTCGTTTTGGAGTCCTCCAACAAGTGACAGTGTTGGAAGACAGGCAAGCGCAAACGATAGCGGTGATGGACGACCGACAAGCGATGGCGACGCTGGACGACCAACAAGGAAAGACGACCTTCTAAAACCGGCTATACATGCGACAAGGACCACCAAAGTTTCAGAGGCCATATCTGCTGATGCTGTGTGACTCAAGCAACATGGATTTCCAATCGATCGAGTGGCGATGAGTGCAGTAGAAGACGATAACGGTAGATTCCATCCCGACGACGAAGACCATCGGTGAAAAAAGCCTGGGCATACCTCCACACGATTGAGAGGTTAGGGATGAGAATTTTATTGAGAGATTTAAAGTTCATACATATTACAAAAATACCGGACTGTATCATGTTTAAGGTATAACCAATTGTACCTTATAATTTACGAACATTCTAGTGGCTCCATCTCAAGTAAGTATTCTCACTAAATATTCTATTTTTAGTGAGATAACTAAAAAATAACAACTTAATCAACCCCCATTAAAAACAATATACCCATACAGTTACAATTATCGTCCATTACCCGTATTACTTTTCTTCTTAAATAATGTCCCAAAACTTATTGTGGCAATATTTATTTAAAATAGGGAGTAGCTCAAGTGAAAGTGTACCATTAGGATGTTTTTAACTAGACTGAAATGTGTTGGTCTGGCCTATTTAGAGGCGGAGTAGAGCAGTCTGGTATGCTCCAATAGATATTTGGTGTAGTTATAACTTTATTTTATAACTATGAAAATCTGAGCTGATCTGATTTGTTTAAATACATAATAGACCAAGTAAAATGACTCGTTTGGTAGTTTACGTGTTAAATTTTTGCACGAGAAATGGTTGTGTGTAAAATTTAGGGAAGTAATAGCTTTGCATGTAAAATAGATTACATTGCTTGCCTAAATGTGTAATTTATTTTTAATTTGCTTGCAAATCAGTTGACGAATGTTGCGAGCATCTTGTTTCTTGGACTGTTTATTTCTATCATAGTGACGAGCATTCTAGAGCTACGGTGGAGCGGTGTGAGCATAGAGGACTGGTGGAGGAACGAGCAGTTTTGGGTCATCGGAGGGGTTTCGGCTCACCTCTTTGCCGTCTTCCAGGGAATCCTGAAAATGATTGCAGGGATAGACACCAACTTCACAGTGACTGCAAAGGGAGGTGCAGAGGACACAGAGTTTGGGGATCTCTACATCTTCAAATGGACAACCGTCTTGATCCCTCCCACCACCATTCTCATCGTCAACTTGGTGGGTGTGGTGGCTGGCTTTTCGGATGCGCTCAACAGCGGATATGAGTCATGGGGACCACTGTTTGGGAAAGTCTTTTTTGCATTTTGGGTCATCTTTCATCTCTACCCATTTTTGAAAGGCCTCATGGGGCGCCAGAATCGCACCCCAACTATTGTTGTCTTGTGGTCGGTGCTATTGGCTTCCGTTTTCTCACTCGTCTGGGTTAAGATAGATCCATTTGTTTCCAAGAATGATCCTTCTACCGTGGCCCAGAACTGCATTTCTATTGACTGCTGAGGATAAAGCAGAAGAAAGAAGGAACTTTATCATGTTTGTGGGGCCATGAAAAGGCAGGAATTATATTGAGATAACAAGTTCTTGTTTGGTGTTGAATTTGATGGGTTGTACCAATTTCAAAAGAAGGGAATGAGACTTTTTTGCATGGCTTCTATAGGACTTTTGTATCATTATGAATACTATCAATTATTACAGTGCAAATTCGAATAGTGATGATTATACCACATTGCTACATAAGCGATCTGGCCTTCATAAGAGAGCCTTGGCTCCTTATAACTGCTTTATTTATATTAAAGAGTATATCATTGGGAGCCTATTTGATAACACACTAAAATTGGCTGAAATTGATGAGACTGAAACGGTTGATTATGTTTTTCTCTATATAAATTTCATTACAATACGTAGTATTTAAATTACTAATTCATTATATCAACTCAAAACGGTCTAATATCTATTCCCAAATCCCAACAACATTAAACTACAAATTTGAACAAAAGTTAGTTGTGAGATTAATGTGATTGGCATCTAAATAAATGAAGAGAAAGAGCATGAAGAGAGTTAAGTACAATGATAAATAAAGAAATGAAAATGAAGAAAAGGGAAGATAGAAAGGAGACGGGTTTGAGACGGGTTTGATGATTAAACTGTTATTAAAGATTATTAATTATTTCATAAAATACAAATGTGAAAGTATAAAAACTGAATATAAATTATAAGTTATAATCATAAATATGTAATTATCTTTTAAGGTTATAAAAAATAGGGAAAACTGTCAAATAGGTCCTCGAACTTTCATAAAAAGGTCAATTAAGTCCTTCTATAGGAGATTCTGTCCGGCCGTCGCGATTTGGGGCAGTTCCCGGTGGAATTTTTTGATGAATTTTTTCGAGCATCTTATTCATCAAGTCTAGTTTACTCATACCAAATTTCAGCTAAAAAATTAATCGGGAGCGCATTCAAATTAATTCGAGAACGCAAAAATGCGCAGTTATCTTCAAGAATTAATTTGAATGTGTTCTCAATTGAATTTTTAGCTGAAATTTGGTATGAGTAAACTAGACTTGATGAATAAGATGCTTAAAAAATTTCATGAAAAAATTCCACCGGGAACCGACCCAAATCGCGACGACCGGACAGAGTCTCCTATAGAAGGACTTAATTGACTTTTTTTATGAAAGTTCGAGTACCTATTTGACAATTTTCCTAAAAAATATAGGTTGCTTACCAAAAAAGAAATATAGGGTGAAAATGAAAATGGTCTAAAAGAAAAAAACTAGGGAACGGAGAAGGCTGAAAATGCCTTTCCATTCACTCATTAAGAATCAATTAATGTAAATTATACATCGAATTTTCCATCTTGAAGAAGAAGATCAGCTACTAAAGAACAGCACATTTCCTTTTCTTCAACGGGATCAACCAATCATAAATACACTATGCTTTTCAGAAAGTTGGTTCTGTGTCATGAAAAATGTGGGATGGATGATCAGGACGGTGGGAAAAAGCGGTTGAGGTTGAAAGGGAGGGTGTAGAACTCCTCGTTCCTGCTATCCCCTTTGAATGCTCTGAACTTTGCCCACCAAGGCATCCCCCTGTCTCTAGCACTGTCTTTGTAGTCAAGTGTGTTGTCCAGAAACACCGACACCATCAGTGCCACTGTGGGGGACGACATGAACACTGTGTTGAGGAGATCGTTGAACTGCAAAAGCACTATGTGAGTGAGTGTGAGGTGAGAAAGTGTATGTAATGTGGAAAGATCACTGTCTGTTGCTTCTTACCCATCCGGCGTTGGTGTGTGCAGGGCCATGATCAGCGGTGGCAGTGTATTCCCTGAAATACTGGGGAATGGACAAGCCCAGGAAGAGCGAAACACCCACAATGAAGAGGTTTCTCATCGAATTCATGTTTGTGAATTGCAAGAATGACAGCCCCACTGAAGCTGCAATTAGTATTTATACTTTCTCAGGTATTCTATGATGGCGCAATTTATCAGGCAGGTTGCAAGAGAGATATAGAGAGAGATTCTCACCCACAAGGCCAAACATCACACAATATACAGCTGCAAATATTGTAAATGGTATTGATGCAAACAAGGCTCCAAATTTCCCTGTGTCACGGCAATAAAGAAGAAAAAGTTCAAACTTTCAGGTTTCACCAGTCAATGAAGGTGTTGATATATGGATGATCTCATGCACACTCACCTAACATGGAGAAGAAGATCATGAAGCCTGCTGAGATTTGAATAACTCTGCGGCTACCAACACGAGTGCTTCCAAGAAGACCCACATTTTCTCTGCACGCATCAATACTATAAAATTATTATTATATTCATACTAATGCAAACATACTACAAGGAAGAAAAACATTGTCAGCCATCATCGTGCCAAACAAAGAAAACAAGAAAGTAAATAACAACTGGATACACAAAACTGATATGAGTGTGACTATGGGGGCACTCTTTGAATATAAATATACTAACACTGAAACTGATGATCCAGTAACTGTCCCAAAAAGTCCACTCAACAGGATCCCAATCCCCTAAAGAAGAAGAGGATGAGAAGAAGAAAAAGAAAGGGTCACTCACATTATGCAATCTCTTATTTTTTTCTATACAAATACATTGACAAATAAATGATTATAAATCCCACAATGAGAGAGGGTTTAAAACTACAAACCTGCCAACCAATACCACGACTAAGAACATGAGCTGGAGGTGGTGTAGCACTTGCCAGACGAGATGCCGCTTTATAAGCTCCAGTTGACTACCAATAATAAACATCACAACCAAGTTAGTCTCAGTAACTGTTACAGTCACATATTGGAATATTAGAGAAGTAAACTAGTTTATGAGACTTGCGATTGAAATAACTAATCTTTTCAGGATTCAATCTTTTAGCATGTGTTCATCCAACTGCAATATGGCTCATTTGAGTGACCTTTATCCAATCTTGAATTCTATGAGTAACAGTATTCATCATGTCTTATCCGAAGTATTTTTTCTTTCTTCGCTAGGGGTGTAATTTCCATTTTCTGTTAAAAGTTACCTCAATCAAGGAAACAAACACAGCAGCCATCATTCCAAAAGTATGACCAGCATCGAAAGTAGGGGCACCCCACTGAAGTGGAAATGGAATTTTAATCCTTTGAAAACAATAAACCATCAATATGCAGAATAGAACAAACTTAAAATGAGACATATTAAGACAACATAAAAAACTAAATACCATGGGGCGGAAGAAATGAGGTAGGCTCGGTCGGTGCGACAGTGAAGCTGAGTTGCCACTGGACGGTGCTTATAAGCGCCACCGGCAGTGAGGAGGTGTGCGTAAGCCCAAATCATTGACACTGATATAATTAGAGCAAAACGTTCCAATACTGGATGTTTCCTGAACTGAAAGTTCTTCAAGTACTGTTGCAGCCATTTGTAAAAAATCAAACAACTTAGCTTAAATCACATTTAATTTAGCAAAATGGTTTCATACTATATTCCCCGTTCCTTTCTTGGGACATATTCTTCAATGTGCAAGCACTACAATTCAATTTTATATATGTTTCTTTCTAGCACTAGTATCAGTTGGTGATGGTGATCATCATTAGATTATTGCACCTAAAATAAGTCTAAAACATAACCACTCTCCTCGAATATAACTACTAGCTAGGTTTTTGTTCTTAGTACCCTTACTTTTAAGAATGGGGTGTGACCCACACTTTTGGATTTAGAAAACTCGGGAATTAGAGCATTCTAGGGTTTTGCAAATCAGAAAGTGGGGATTTCACATACCATGGTATTTGATTGATTCAAGGAAATTAGATAAGTCCAACATTCTGAACGTGATTTTATTCAATCCACAAACATTTCAACTAAAAAAAGTAAATAAATCCAAACAAGGCATATCATATATATTACTCTAGAAAGCTACTAAGGAAAACTATGTGAATTTGAAAAGTCTATCAAGGAAGCAATGCCAAACCTGAGAGAAGGCAACAAACAAGATGAACATAGGAACACCAATTTCAACACATTGCCCAACCTGCATTTGTGTGGAAGCAGAGAAAGAATGTGTCTTTTCATATTAGTGTCCTGAAACATATGCGAAATTTACAGAAGGAACTGTAGTTTACTGTGAAATAAGTCATCACCCCTACCACTGGAAATCCTTTATCGAACAGTCCAAACCCCAGCAATGCAACAACTGGGACCATTCCAAGTGGACTGAAAAACCTGCATTAAATAAGGAACAGTTCAACAAGCCACGTGATTAAAATAGCAAAAAGCGGGGAAACAATACTTCATTATTTAGCGAAATCTCACCTTGAAAAAATAGCCCAAAGCTGACTATACCCCAATATAATCTGCACACTAGAAGCTACTATAAGTGCACCCTGTATTGCCCGCATCGTGTTGAGGAATCTCTACCAGAGCAAAAGAGACGGGTTATTCATTTTTAATTTAGCTTGTAAAAGATCGCTTGCATCACCATTAAGTAACTCTAGAGATTTATTTAACCAAAGAAAAAAACAGAGCATGATTAACTTTACTTTTAAAAAAAATATAGCACACAATGTAATAAGTAATGGGAGAAATTAAGAAATGGACGAACTTCATGAGGTTCAGCAATGGTGGTGAAGGAAGAATCACGAATGATGGAAATAATGGGAACCGAAAATGCCCATGATCCGCCCATAACAGTAGGTAATCTTGTTCCGAACAATGTTTGGAGAATCGTATTAATCCCTTGCACAAAAAGTAGAGTTTGCACCACCCTCACTGTGTCACCCTGTAGTCAACAGTTTAATTAATTAAATATGGAAAAGAACAGAAAAAAAAAAATCAACGTGGGAAAATAAATTCATACTCCGCAGTAGATTCTCTCTTATCTCTAAATCAATTAAATAAATACAGAGCATTTTTCGTTATTTCTGGAAAGATTACTGCTTTCAACTTGTAAAATAATTGTAATCAACTTGACAAATCTAGCATAACGGTCCTTATCTTTTATGAGTTGCACATTTACTGCACTTTCTTTTCAATTAGAAATACAGACACTCTCTCACTTCCTGTCTTCATTAATTGATGTCAGGCACTGAAAAACATAAACTTCATGCAGTACAACATTAATAGAAATTTTCAAATTTATTTCAGCTGTTGTGCCATTGGATATGGTCATCATCGATCCTTAGCTTATACAAGAAACAAAAAAGGATCGAGCCTTACATGATCTCCACCCATCATAGGAACTAGAAATGATGGAATCATCACTGCAGTGCCTAATGCCATGATATAATGCTGAAATCCCAGGGCTATTGCTTCCCCTGTCCTCCACATAAAAAGCATGAAAGTTAGCTTCTGCCATTTAAAACCCACAAATAAATCAACAGGGGCAAAAAAGATTTATTATTTATTTGCTCACACCCCAACAAGGATTGGAATCAATGCAGTACTCTAAACCCTGAAGTTGGTCCATGGGAAGGTAACTGATATCTTCAGGTTTAGGGGCCGTCATTTCCACCCACCACTCTTCCCGGCCTGGACTTTTCGCTCAAACTGCAAAAGGGTCTTCAAGAAATCAGCCAAAAAATGCAAAGGCTGGGCCTTTGCCTGCTCGATCAGACTGGTGGGGGAGTATGAGCAAACCAATGATCGAGATGAAGAAAAACAAGATTTAAGTAAGCTATTGTGGGGGGTAAAGACTGTCAAGAAAAAGCAGGAAAAAAAGATAAAGTGGCTTGGAGAGAGAGAGAGAGAGGGGTGATGCGAGTGTGAGTTTGAGTGACGGATTTAAAGTTATGTGCTCTATGAATCATGTGATATGATAACGGTCTTCTACCAAATTCACTTACCTCGCTTTCATTGTTTTATCTAATCAAGAGACTACTAGTTGAATTGGTTTGTTTTAATAGTCCTGTACTCCGTATATTATTATTTGTAAAATAATGAAAAAGTTATGGGGGGGAAGTGGAAAACTAATACTCCGTACTACGTAGTTTCTTAACAAATTCGATCAATTCATGCATAAAAGTAAATTCGGTATTACTTTATTTTTATTTGATTGTTATATACAAACTTACAAAGTCATTCATTTCACGATAGAAGCTCAATAGAGTAGAAGGTCCGGTGCAAATCACGTAAAATAAATCTTATATTAAATATATATAATATCAAAAATCAATCTTCAAAGCATAACCCAAAAAAAAGGCTATGACCAAAATCAGTAAAAAAAAAAGACTAATATCGAAAAGAAACGAACTAAAATCATGATCACACTAAATGTTATAGTTTGATAGGAAAAGTACAACTCATTCACTCATTTATAATGTTATACTCCCTCAGTTTTGTGTGGTTCAAATGATCTTTTATTTTATTTTCAATTTATCAATTCAATATAAATCATATAATTCAGTTTTTTGTATCTACACCTCCTCCTCCCTTATCAATACTAGGGGGCACTGGCGGATCCATTTGGTTCAAGGGTGTTCAGCTGAACACCCAAAAACTTAAAAATAAAGTGCAAAAATGCATATAAAATTAATGTAATAATTTATATATTGTGTTTTTTATACAATAATTATTATTTTGAACCCTCATTGCCAGGGGCAGATCTGTCAAGGGACGGGGGCCGGTGCCCCTGCTCCGTACGTACGAACTAGGTATAGGAAGGGTTTGGGACGCCGTTGGGGAGGGTCGCCGGACGGGTCCATAATTTTCGGCAGGCAGGGATCCGCGTTGCAGGCATCTGTCTTGAGGTTAGGGACGAGCGGATGAGGAATGTGGGATTTTGTATTTTTTAATGGGAACGAGTGAGGATGATGTCGTTTTGTTGGTGGCCAGCAAATAAAACAATTAATGGCCGGTTGGGCCAAGTGCTGAGACCCAACAGCCCAAATCCCCAAACCATGCAATCAGACCAAAGCAAGTTAGGAGCAGTAGCAGATACCGCATCCCGCATCCCCAAATCCCAAGCAGCAGAGCCATTAGCCACGCTGCCTCACCGGACTGTCAAGTCTCCGTCCGGCATCCGGCATCCGCTGTCCGGCGTCTTCCCTTCCCAAATCCCAATCGTTTTGTCTTTCTTAATTAAATTAAATATTTCATACTATCGTATTTCATTATTGAAGTTTTACAATTCTTAAATATGATCTGAAAAATATGTACACATGTAGTGCAAACTTGTTAATGATTTATTGTGTATTATTGTAGTACTATCTATGGCTTCGTTTGTTTTTCGGCGGGTGAGTAGCAATCCGCTGAAATTTGCAGCATTTTGCTGTTATAATTCATTGGCGGTTTGCTCCATCCGCTATTATCCAAACGGCACCTATGTTCCAAAAAAATCTTCCACTTACCTTTTTGGATGTCCCAAAAAATCTTCTCGTTTACATTTTTGAAAAAAATTAGTATGGTTACCTTTTTCTTAAACCCGGTCCAAGTCAAATCTAGAAAAAAAATCCTGGGATGGAGGGAGTATTTTTTTTAACCCGAAGGGAGTATATTACAATGGTTGTAAATCAAGTATTATTGTTATTAAATTATGAATTTATAATAGTTTGAATTATTTATTGTTTTACAAAAAAAACATATTTTTTTTATTTATTGTTTTACAGAACATGAGGACCGAAGGTAGTCATTGCTGGTTTTTTGTAGTTCAAAAAAATTACATCTCTTCGATTATTGGATCAAATAATATTATTGAGTAACATTTTAATGTTAAAATAATTTTGAACCCCCCACATTTTATTGCAAGATCCGCCACTGTTAGGTGGCGTGGGTAGTGTCAGTGGCGGAGCCACATATAAGAATGTGGTGTCAATTGACACCACTCATTTCTTGTAGTTATATACATAGAGTTATATCTTCAAAAATTAATTTCACACCATTTATATAAATAGAATGACAACCAATTGACACCACTCAAATATTTTTTGTAATTATATATGTAGAGGTATATTTTGAAAACAATAAATTGACACCACCTATATATAAACAGAATGAGGGTCAAAGTATAATATATATGAAATAGTTACATATTTATAACTAAAATAAAAAATTATTTACAAAAAAATGTGACCTGTTAACTTGTTAAGTACATTTACTGTATATAGTAGTAACATTAGTCATAATAATTTATGTTTAAACCCGGAAGGCCAACGCACCTAAGTCGGTGGGCTAAATGCCAAAGAACATTTACTAAATTTTATTAATAATGTAAAATAAATACAAAATGAGAGGAGGCTAGACCAAAAATCTCCCTTCGGGAGGTATACATCCGCACAAATACATCAAACAGAAAAAAAAAGGTATTTGGGGACTAGGGCTGACCCAATATAAAACAACTAAGCATTAAATCTCTAAATCTATGTATTCAACAAAATAGTTTTATTCCAGTAATTTTTTGAAAAAAAAATAAATTAAATCCATGTACTCGACTAAGATAAATTTACAGTCTAATCATGATTAATACCTTTTAAATCATTTTCAATTACTGATGCACTAGATTATTTATTCAAGACAAAGAAAGGGAGTTTAAATATGTACATGAAGTAATATGTAGTTTAAAAATTCTTTTCATATTTTTGCACATTTATGACCACTTTGTTTTGTTATTTACTAACATTCTTGTTTTGTCAATAGTTGCTCCGTCCCAAAAGTTTGTCAACTTTCTTGATCCAAACTATTCATTTTCGTCCCAAAACTTAGTTTATGGTTTATATTATTTCGTTCTCTTCTATAAAAATCTCAATCATATAATTTTTATTTTATTTTTTATTTGCATGTCAAAGTTGGCCAATTTTTATAGGTGGGAGGGAGTGTGACATTTCTATTACATTTGCTCTAACATTAAGGTGTTCCGCTCACTGATGAGGACCCCTGGATTTCAAGTGTTGCCCCAATTTTAAATGTGCATCAAAGGACACTCGATGATTTGACCCTTAATCCTTAGTTTTGGATCATAAGATTTAACTCTCCGGTGCACCAGATTAGAGGTCATTGGTTCTGCAATTTTATTTCATTAATATGTTCTTAAGATGAAATTGAGATTTTTATTTTGCACGGAGAGTAACCAATTTGCTTAAAGTATTAAAGTTTGGCATAAATAGAGAACTAAACTACTATACAGATAACAGGAAAAATGATTTTTTTTATTTTCTTAATAATATAATAAATTAATACACTCCGTGTGCTTTTTTGTTCTCACTTGTTCTCAAACAATTGTTAGTTTAAAATATACAAAATGCGCAGTTAGGTTACTAATGTGTTTTTTTATCATTATATCAAAGAAAAGTAATACGGAGTATTATACAGTATCAGTTTAATTTGTAAAGTATGAATAAATTTCGACTATTTAAATATAACCATATATAATATTTTGTATTTAGTGGTACAAAAGAATAATAAAGAGTAATACTTTGAAAAGTAATTAAGATCTTCTATTCATATTACATTCTTATGGATACATTATTCTTCAAACATACGGAACAGTACATTTATCGATCTCTTCCACGATAAATTAAATGTTAGCATCCTTCAACTTTCTTAATTCACATGAGATTTGAGGATATGATACTCCTTTTTGGGACTATGACAACGTCATTAAATCATAATGTGCTTCACATCTATTTATCTTCAAGAACATTTATCCCTTTTATAATACTTCCTCCGTATTTTAATGTTCACTACATTTGGTTTGACACATTATTTAAAACGTAAAGTGGTAGGGGTAGTGAATAGTATAGAAAAAGTAGGAGAGAGTGTGTAAAAGTATGAAAGAGAAGATAAAAAGTAAAAAAAGTAAGAACAGTTAAGTACTACCTTCGTCCCATAATGGTTGTCTCATTTCAATTTGGCACGATTATTAATAAAGTGGTTGAAAAGTAAAAGTTGTGGTTGAGATTTGAGTAGAATAAAGTAAAATGATATGGACCACAAATCTCTTACCAAAAAGGGAAACATGACATCCATTTTGGGACAACCCATAAAGGAAAGTAAGACAACCAAAATGGGATGGAGGGAGTATTTTATAAAGGGTGAACTTACCAAAAATGGAAGTGTAGCAAACTTTTAAATACATTCCAAAAAGGAAAGTGTAGCAAACATTAAAATAGTTTAGAAGGAACTTGGAGAGTGAGGCTGAAGTAAAAAAAGACTTCAACATTTTTAATTACTACTCTTTCTGTCCCACAAACATGGTCATTTTGATTTATTTTTTTTGGTCTATGATAGTCAATTTTGACCAATGCTATTTTTTTCACAAAATTATTTAAAATATGAAAGTTATATGAAAATGTTATTTGTTAAAAGTATAAAATTTGAAAATTTCACACAAGTTAATATTAGGACTCGCAAAAATTGAGTTTGGCCAAGTTTTGCGGGTAAAGGAAGTGTTTATTTAATTATAATGCTTATAATAGGATTAATAGAGTGAAATGAAAAGATGGCATACACTAAATCGTGTAAACTTTGTTTGGAACGGAGGGTGTATTGACAAAGCTTACTAAATTTAATTTAGTAAAAAGGATGATGGATGGAGTAACTTTCTTGTACACTACCTTCGTCCCATTAATATTTATGTATGTATTTCTATTTTTTGGTGTTTCTAGGAGTATCTTGACGGTGGAGTAACTTTCTTGTACACTACCTTCGTCCCATTAATATTTATGTATGTATTTCTATTTTTTGGTGTTTCTAGGAGTATCTCGACGGGTAGATAGGAAGTATCACAAGGGGTAAGTCTCGGGTTCGAATCCTAGCAACTGTGACGAGATGTGATTATGTAAAAATGCATAGGAACTCTCCAAATATCTGG